CCAGTCTGGGCGACAGAGTGAGACTCCAACTCAAAAATAATAATAATAATAATAATAATTTCAGCATTCTATAATTTATGCTGTTTGTCGCTTCTCTGGAGGCATGATTTAAAACCGTGTTATATATCTGTGTAGGCCATCTAAGTGGTAACACTGCAAGTCACAGTGAGCCAGTACTAGCTTGCCTGGTATCAGATGAGCTAAATGGAACACATTTTTTTTTTTGAGTTGGAGTCTCACTCTGCCGCCCAGGCAGCCTCAACCTACTGGGCTCAAGTGATCCTGCCCCCTCAGCCTTCCAAGTAGCTGGAACTACAAGCACATGCCACCACACCTGGCTAATTTGTTTATTTATTACAGAGACAAGATCTCACCAAATTGGCTAGGCTGGTCTCGAACCCATGGGCTCAGGCAGTCCTCTCACCTCAGCCTCCCAAGGTGCTGGAATTATAGGCGTGAGCTACCGTGCCCGGCCTTCTTTTCTCTTAACAGTACTACACCTACTCACATTTTATTTATTTATTTAGAGTAGGAGTCTCACTCTGTCACTCATGCTGGAGTGCAGTAGCACACTCACAGCCACTGCAGCCTCTACCTGCTGGGCTCAGGGGATCCTTCTGCCTCAGCCTTCCAAGTAGCTGGAACTACAGGAATGCACCACTATGCCCAGCTACTTTTTAAAAAAATTTGTTGTAGAGATGAGGTCTCACCAAGTTGCCCAAGCTTGTTTGGAACCCTTGGGCTCAGTCAGTCCTCTCACCTCAGTCTCCCAAAGTGCTGGGATTATAGGCGTGAGCCTTCGCACCCAGAACACATTGTGCATTCTTTTTTTTTTTTTTTTTTTTGAGTTGGAGTCTCACTCTGTCACCCAGACTGGAGTACAATGGCCGCTCCCGGCCACCGCAGACTCCACCTGCTGGGCTCCAGCGATCCTTCCGCCTCAGCCTTCCAAACAGCCGGAACTACAGGCGTGCATTACCACGCCCGGCTAATTTTTTATTTATTGTAGAGATGGGGTCTCGCCAAGTTGCCCCGGCGGGTCTCGAACCCACGGGCTCAGGCAATCCACTCATCTCAGCCTCCCAAAGGCACGGGATTACAGGCGGAGCCACCAAGCCTGACCAGAACACATTCTTGAGATATGCAGACTGGGAAAAATAACCTTCAAGTGCAACAAGAGTGTAGAAAAATTGTCCATTTTTCGTTGCAGGAGAAAAGGAATTGAGTTTCTAGGAGAAAGTTCAGGTGTCCCAGAACAGCCAGGTTACACAGGGTAGGCGAACAGGAGAAAAAATATCTGTCCATTTTTCATAATGAAAAGGTATATTCTGGGAGAGTCCTCTCTTCTGGGAGCAAAGACAATAAAATTTTGCAATTTAAATTTTGGTTAAAAACTTTGCTTCAGGGCAAGCGTAATGGCTCACACCTATAATCCCAACACTTTGGGAGGCCCAGGCAGTAGGATCATTTGAGTTCAGGAGTTTGAGACCAGCTTGGGCAGTATAGCAAGATCCCATCTCTACAAAAAAATTTTAAAAATTAGCTGTGCGTAGTGGCACACTCCTGTAGTCCCAGCTACTTGAGAGGCTGAGGTGAGAAAATGGCTTGAGCCCAGGAGTACAAGGCTGCAGTAAGCTGTCATTGCGCCATTGCACTCCAGCCTGGGCAACAGAGCTTGACCTTGTCTCAAAAGTTAAAAAAAAAAACAACTTTGTTTCAAACTGTGTAGTTTCCCAAAGTGCCTGTGTACACTTGTATGTATACATATAAACATGTGTCAGTGTATACACATCCAATAGATGCGGCATCTCCAGTTCCTCAAATTTCAATGCTCGATTTTTATGGCATTTCCACTTTCTCCAAATCAGCTTTGCCAAATGATTTTCAGGGAGAAGCAAACAGCAAGGAATTCCTCCCTCCCAAGCTCCCTTAATCTTCCTCCACTTTGTCTTCTTTGCCCTCTGGAAATCTCTCCCGTCACTACACATTTTTTTTTCCATTTTAACATATGAACTACAGCTTAGAATAGTGTTGCTCAAATTTAATGTACTTTTCTTTCAAAGAAAAAAAAATTAAAAGCAGCTGTTGGATGAATCGGGATCCTTACCTTTTACATAGAGAATACCTGTGAGTTTCTCTCTAGTAGTCTAGGCAGAATTCTCTAATATTCTAGGCAGAATGTTGCCCAAACACCCCATGAAGTCACTGTGGAAAGTGCAAACACCCGGGGGCTCTTGTCCTTTTGAACTTGACTTGCCTCCCTGAGAAGTTCAAGAGTGCCTGGAGGCCGGGTGCAGTTGCTCACGCTTATAATCCCAGCACTTTGGTAGACCCGAGGTGGGAGGATTGCCTGAGCCCATGGGTTGGAGACCAGCCTGGGCAACTTAGTGAGACCCTATCTCTACAATAAATCAAAAAATTAGCCGGAAATGGTGGTGTGTGCCTGTAGTTCTAACTACTTGGAAGACTGAAGTGGAAGGATGGCCTGAGCCCAGCAAGTCGAGGCTGTGGTGGCTGAGAGCAGGCCACTGCCCTCCAGCCTGGGTGACTGAGTGAGACTCCTACTCAAGAAAAAAAAAAAAAAGAGTGTCTGGGGAGGGGTGCCCACAGACAGCCTAACCTGCCTGGCAGCTGTGCCTGCTGCGAAGAAATTTTATTTCTGAAAATCACAACTGAAGCCAGAAGAGCCCTTTTATCCTGCCTAATTGATCTGCAGTGGGAGTGTTCCTCCTCAACCTTCTCCAGTTGCAATAACTTACAGAAGGAACCCATCATATTCACTGGTTCTTATTACCTTGATAATATTTCAAGTATTGCTCCAGGTCTGTAAGTGTCCTAAATTGGTCCATGATCAAATTCGATTATCGAATACTCGCCTTTCCCTGGGCACTTGTGGCCACTTTTGCTGGTCCTGATCCCCCTACTGGGCTTCACGTCCTCCTCTTGGAACCAGTGCCACTATGTCCACTAGCATCCACCATCCCTCCTCCTTGGTACTACTGGGCTGCCGGGCCCAGGGCCTTCTCTACCTCTTCTCAAAAACTGCTACTTCTTTCTGTATCTCCCACTAGTCAATGCAACCTCATATTTTAGTGCTGTTAAAATGTCAAAGATGGGCCGGACTCGGTGGCTCAGTCTGTAATCCCAGCACTTTGGGAGGCCGAGGTGAGTGGATTGCCTGAGCCCGCGGGTTCGAGACCCGCCTGGGCAACTTGGCGAGACCTCATCTCCACAATAAATCAAAAATTAGCCGGGCGTGGTAGCGCACGTCTGTATTTCCAGCTACTCGGAAGGCTGAGGCGGAAGGATTGCCGGAGCCCAGCAGGTCGAGGCTGCTGTGGCCAGGAGCAGCCACTGCACTCCAGTCTGGGCGACCAAGTGAGACTCCCACTCAAAAAAAAAAAAAAAAAATGTCAAAGATGGCCGGGTGACAGTGGCTCAAGCCTGTAATCCCAGCACTTTGGGAGGCCGAGGAAAGAGGATTGCCTGAGTTTAGAAGTTCGAGACCAACCTGGGCAACGTTGGTAAGACTTCGTCTCTACAATAAATCAAAAAATAAGCTGGGCATGGTAGCGCGTGCCTGTAGTTCCAGCTACTTAGGAAGCTGAGGTAGAAGGATCACCTGAATCCAGCATGTCGAGGCTGCAGTGGCTGTAGGGTGCCACTGCACTCCAGCCTGGATGATAGAGTGAGACTCCAACTCAAAAAAAAAAAAGTCAAAGCTGTGCAGGGCAAAGGAAGCCAAGGAAGACTGCTTGTTTCTTCATGTTACACTTTATTAGAAAATTACCAGTAGGCTGCTGCCCTATTCCTCAAGGTCAAATGTATTTTCAATAGACAGAGCTTTCCTTTTTTATTTAGTGAGTTAATCAGGGCAAAGTAATTATTAAGGTAAATGTTAAGGTTGTGATTTTAGAGACAAAAAATTCATTTCTGTTAATAGTCACACTCAAGGTAGGGGCGCACGTAGGCTGCTCTAGGGCTCTATTATACCTCCCAGCCATTCAGGGACCCAGGCTCCTTCTGTCCGGGGCTTCTTCATCCTTAGGACCTTGGAGTCATCCAGTAGATCATTTGCATCCCAGATCATGCAGGTAGTTTTATGGCCTAGACCCAGAGCTTGAAGTACACGACTTTTGCCCACGTTTATTTGGCTAGGATTCGGACACAGAATATATTGTACCTGAGAAGGTGTGAACCCAAGAAGAAAACGAAACAAATTCGGGGAGCATCTGGACAATTTCTGCTATACTGGTCACCCCGTGCCTTTATAAATTACAGACCTGAGTTTTGTTGTTGCTGTTGTTGTTGTTGTTTAGATTAAGGGAGTACATATACAGATTTATTACATGGACATATTGCATAATCCTGGAGTTTGAGTTTCTGTTGAGCCCATCACTCAAATAGTAAACATAATACCCAAGAAGTAATTTTCAACCCTTTCCCCTACCCCCCCTTCCTCCTTTTGGAATACCCAGTGTCTATTGTTTCCATCTTTATGTCTATGTGTACCCAGTGTTTAATTCCCACTTGCAAGTGAGAACATGTAGTATTTGATTTTCTGTTTCAGCATTAATTTTCGTAGGTTAATGACCTCCAGCTACACCCATGTTGCTGCAAAGGACATGATTTCATTCTTTTTATGACAGCATAGTTTTCCATGTTGTGTATGTACCACATTTTCTTTATCCAGTCCACCACTGATGGGCACCTAGGTTGATTCCATGACTTTGCTCTTCCATGAATAGTGCTGGATAAACATATGAGCACAGGTGTCTTTTTGATAGAACATTTTTTTTTTCCTTTGGGTAGATATCCAGAAGTGGAATTGCTGGGTCAAATGGTAGTTCTATTTTTAGTTCTTTGAGAAATCTCCATACTGCTTTCCACAGCGGCTGAGCTAGCTAAGATTCCCACCTACAATATAGGAGCGTTTTCTTTTGGCCACAACCTCACCAACATCTGCTATTTTTTGACTTTTTAATAATAGTCATTCTGACTGATGTGAGATGGTATCTTGTGATTTTAATTTGCATTTAGCTGATAATTAGCAATGCTGACCATTTTTTTCATATGATGGTTGGCTACTTGTATATCTTCTTTTGAAAAGTGTCTGTTCATGTTCTTTGCCTACTTTTTAACAGGTATTTGAGTTTTTTCTTGTTGATTTGTTTGAGTTATTTTTAGATTCTGAATATTTGTCCTTTGTTGGATGCATCGTTTGCAAATATTTTCTCTCATTCTGTAGGTTTTCTGTTTACTCTGTTGATAGTTTTTTTTTTTTTGGGCTATGCAGAATCTCTTTAGTTTAAATCCCAGTTGTCAATTTTTGTTTTTGTTACATAATTGTTTTTGAGGTCTTAGTCATAAATTATTTGCCTAGGCCAACGTTCATAAGAGTTTTTCTTAGGTTTTCTTCTAAGATTTTTATAGTTTCAAATCCTACATTTAAGTCTTTCATCTATCTTATTAATTTTTGCATATGAAAGGTAGGGGTTCTGTTTCATTCTTTTGCATATGACTAGCTAGTTTTCCCAGCATCATTTATTAGAGTATCATTTCCCCATTGTTTACTTTTGTCAACTTTATCAAAAAACAGTTGGTTGTAGGTGTGTGGCTTTATTTCTGGGTTCTCTATTCTGTTCCAATAATCTGTGTGTCTATTTTTGTACCAATACCATGCTGTTTTGGTTACTATAGCCTTGTAGTATAGTTTGAATCTAGGTAATGTAATACCTCTGGCTTTGTTCTTTTTGCTCAGGTTTTCTTTGGCTATTCAGATTCTTTTTTGGTTCCATATGAATTTTAAAATTATATTTTCTAATTCTGTAAAAATAATATTGGTAATTTGATAGGAATTGCTTCGAATCTATAGATTGCCTTGGGCAGTATAAACATTTTAATGATATTGATTCTTCCAATCCATGAGCATGGATGTTTTCTCATTTGTTCATGTCATCTGTGATTTTCTTCGTCAATATTTTATAGTTCTTGTAGGTATCTTTCACTTCCTTGGTTAGATGTATTCCTAGGTATTTTATTTTACTTTATTTTGTGGCTACTCTAAGTGGGATTGCATTTTGATTTGATTCTCAGCTTGAACGTTATTGATGTATAGAAATGCTACTGATTTTTGTATGTTGATTTTGTGTCCTGAAACTTTACTGAAATCATTTATCAGGTCTACAGGTCTTTTGGAGGATTCTTTAAGGTTTTCTAGGTATAGAATTATATCATCAGTAAACAGAGATAATTTGACTTCCTCTTTTCCTATCTAGATGCCTTTTATTTCTTTCTCTTGCCAAATTATAGACCTGAGTTCCTGAGGGAGGGGAGAACTTTCAGGCATGGCTTTACTTAGAACTGCCTTTCTCCTCTAGGAACTAAAGCTTTGTTCCTAAGGTGAGCCTGTCATCCTGACTTATGGACTTTCCACTGTGTTTAAAGCAAAGTTTTCCCAGGAGGCTCCTCACTCCTTCCACATATAGATTTCAGGAGGCCATTCCTACATCTGTCAGCAGAGCCTGAACAAGTCTGAACTCACTGGCAGACCCATCTTCAGCCCAGAGTAGCACCTTCTGCTATACTTCCAAGGAGATAGAACCAGGAAGCAATAATAAGTATGAGATTAAGAAAGCAAAAAGAGCCGAGCTCAGTGGCTCAGCCTGTAATACTGCGCCTTTGGGAGGCTGAGGTGAGCGAATTGCCTGAACCCGCAGGTTCGAGACCCGCCTGGGCAGCGAGACCTCATCTCTACAATAAATCAAAAAAATTAGCCGGGCGTGGTAGTGCGCGCCTGTAGTTCCAGCTACTTGGAAGGCTGAGGCGGAAGGATTGCCGGAGCCCAGCAGGTCAAGGCTGCGGTGGCCGGGAGCGGCCACTGCACTCCAGGTCTGGGCGACAGAGTGAGACTCCAACTCAAAAAAAAAAAAGAAAGCAAAAAGAAGCCGGACTTGGTGGCTCAGCCTGTAATCCCAGCGCTTTGGGAGGCTGAGGTGAGTGGATTTCCTGAGCCCACTGGTTCGACACCCGCCTGGGCAACTTGGTGAGACCTTATCTCTACAATAAAATAAAATAAAAAATTAGCCAGGCGTGGTAGTGCGTCCCTGTAGTTCCAGCTACTTGGAAGGCTGAGGCAGAAGGATCACCGGAGCCCAGCAGGTCGAGGCTGTGATGGCCGGGAGTGGCCACTGCACTCCAGTCTGGGTGACAGAGTGAGACTCCAACTCAAAAAAAAAAAGAAAGCAAAAAGAAAATACCATTGCAAATAGCAATGAAAGCAGTGAGATGAAGAAAAGCAAAAGAGGTGCCCAGCCAGGGACATTTGGGGGTTAAAATGCAAATGTCAAGGCATCTGTGAAATCAGTATTGCATTCAGATCAAGAAGTCCAAAAAGGGTGTATACTGGTGGCACATTTGCCTCTGATTACAGAGGACTTAACCCTGACCTGGAGTTGCATGGCTCATCATGAAGACAAACAGGTCTATGTACCCAGAGTGTCCTTTAATAAAACACAAGGACTTATCCAGTTCAGATTCATATAAAGACTGCCAGCCTACAGAACTCTCTAAAGTCTAGACTATAAAATGCTTTCTGGGCCCTGAGATTTAAACAAAGGCATCTCCTTAACAAGTCTCTAGCTGGAACACGTATTTGAGAGCAACCGTGTAATTAAGGACAGAGCCACCCAGGCATCTGAGTTCTCCGTCCTCTCAGCCCTCCTCCGAGCTTACTCACATGTTGACTGAGGCCTCTGTAGGAGTAATGTGGTTGGTAGTAGCCCCTACTCAATCAGCACTTCTCACTTGCAAGAGAAGACACTGTTTTGGGCCCTTGCAACTTGACCCA